AAGGGCCAGGACTGACGGTGGCGGGCAGGCTCGCAGCCCGCGGAGAGAAGGTGAACTGCGTGATCGCGCTCGAGGTAAGGAGGAGGCGGCAGAGCCGGGGCAGGGGAGGGTGAGGGAGTAAGGACGGGGAAGGTGCCGGACTCGGTGCTGGAGGAGCGAATCTGCGGAAGATGGATCCACAAGGCGTCAGGACGATCGTACCACGTGAAGTTTGCTCCTCCCAAGAGCTTGCCAGCGGGAGGTAAGAAGAGGAGGGAGGGAGGGAGGGAGACGGGGGAAAGGGAGGAGGGGATGAGAGGAAGCCTGCCGAGGGAGGAAAGAGTGACAAGGGGTGGTCTGATGGGATGGCGTGATTGCAGCCAAGCCGAGCGCGAGCAACATGAAGGACGACGTGAGGAGGAGGGAGAGGGAGAGGGAGGAAGAGAGACTTAGAGACGGAGCGCAGATGACCGGCGAGGCTCTGATGCAGCGTAGCGACGACACAGCAGAGGCGCTGAAGAAGCGTCTGTCGGTGAGAGGAGGGGAGGGGAAGGGAGGACGGGTGTGGTGGACGGGAGAGGAGGAGAAGATAAGAAGAGGGGGACGGCTGGATGTAAGGAGGAAGGAGCTGACGGCGGTTGTGTGGGATGCAGAGCTACCACGCGGAGACGGTTCCAATCCTCAAGCACTACGAGCCCGCGGGGATCGTGACGAGATGTACGTGGGCGGAGAGGGGAAGCGGGGGGCTCGAGGCGGAGGAGAGGCTGATGGTGTCGGGGGTGCAGGCAACGCGAACCAGGCGATGGACAAGGTCTGGGGGGAGATCGAGGGAGCTCTCAACAAGACCTCGTGAGTGATGGAGGAGGAGGAGTCAGACTGAGAGAGGGGAGAGGGAGGAAGGGACGAGCGAGGGGCAGCGGGAAGGCTCCGAGGCCGGGGGGAGAAGAGAGTCGCTATCGGCGGAGAGGGGGGCCTGATGCCGGGGAGAAGAAGGGAAATGAAAGTATGAGGGCGTTAGGTAGTGAAAGAGGATTGCGCACACTGTAGCTTGTATGGGTACTCCGTACTGGCTGGTCGCATTGCGAGAGGTCACGAGTTGAGGATGACGGTGAGCCGGCAGGTCGGGATCTTGGAGCTGGAAGTCGCTGGCGTTCATGACGCTGCAGGCGGCGTTTGTATATGCTGTGTGCAGCAAGCGCTTCAACCTGAAGCTCGTCTGATTTCGGAAACAAATCATTCAACTGTGCCAATCAATGAAGTTCCGCTGTTCCGATTCAGTTCACAGAGTTCGCTGCAGGCTGACTCGGGCTTCCGTGGCACATGATTGATCTTCGGTCTGTTGTCACAGTGTGACTATGTTGCGGCGATCAACTTGGATTCCCGTGTCAGTGATTCAAGGTCGGAACTCAGAAGGTTCTGCCAAGTTTGAATTCCGTGAGTCCGGAGTCCCGTCCCGGCAGCCCCGAGCCTCGGAGTCCAACTCAGTCAACTTGCAATCGCCCGGCCGGGCCTTCGGTCCGACTCAGACGGTCCAAGTTGAAAGCGACGCAGCCCCGGCCGCCGCGACCGGAGTCCGGAAGTCCCGGCCGACCGCGGCCCCGCCGGCGGAGTCCCCGGGTACGCCGTAGTCATCACTGTCAGCCCCGCCGGGCGTCGGGGCACCTTGCCGCCGCACTCGCACTCGGAGGCTCTGCCTCCGAGTGCTGAGTACGCCGACGGTGGCACCGTGACCCGGCCGGGCGGCCGGACTCCTCACGGGTGGCACCCAGCCCAGGCTGCCACTGGCCCCGTCACGCCGGCGTTTTAAGACGGTGATTCAAACTGGTTTAGACCGGCAGTACAAATTCGTCATATGATATCAAGAGCCGTACTGTACCATCTCGGACTTGTGACGTCGTTACTACGGCAAGTAGAGTGACTCGACTCAGTGACTGCCAGGGCTTGTGATGAGTCACCAGACGCCTGTCGGAACTTACAATATCGGATCATGTTCCTAGTAGTTTCCATCTGAACTTTCACGAGGCATTCATATGAACTTGTTTCTCAAAAGTTCAGGTTTTTATTGACCTCCGCTAGGGATAAAATACATGTAAATCGACCACCCCCTGACGGTCTGTGTACCCCCTCTCCGCTAATAGATTGATGGGGATGGAGGGGTGGATCCGTATCAAGTATCTTTGTAAGAAGTCTACGAATGTATATGATAAAATTTCATTCAATATTTGAAAAGTTTATTGTTGTTTTGAATATTTATTTAAACAAATTCTTCAAATCACCTTTTTTTGAACGACAACGGGGGGGGTAGGTGGTACGATGCTGACAGGAGTGGTGTTACCAGTACCGTGATGGCAGCAACGTAAGCACGAGGACCGAAAGAGGCAGGGAGAGAGGAAGGAGTCGAACCTCAAGCAGGTCAGCAGAGGAAGGGACTGAAGAACAGCTCTTGTCAGGCCACACTGCAACCCTTGTCTTGTCTTACGAGCAAAAGAAGATCGATACAGGAACAACAGGAAATCCTCAAATCCAATCAAAGGTTTGTGCGCGGAGAAGTTGAAACGCACTTCTGAGAGTATCACAGCAAACAGCTTAGAGGACTTCATACAATCTTGTTCCATCACATCTCTTCAGTTGGTCTATGACAGACTGTACAATACGATCACAGGTGGACCATCAAAGCCACTCGAGCGACGAAGCCTCTTTCGATCCCTCCTCCCCATGTGCCGACGTATGGCGTCAGTTCGGTCGTGACCTCCAGGACATGCTCGGTCGTAAGCCCTGCGGCTTCGTCCTCGTCGACGTCTCCAAGAGGCCCTCGCCCCCCCTCGTCTACCTCTCCGCTGAGATGACGAAGCTCCTGGGCCTCCGCTCGCCTCGCTCGTGGCTCGGGCAGCCCTGGAGCAGGCTGCTGCGGCTCTTGCCCGACGACCGGGAGGAGGAGGCGAGGATCGAGCGGGCGCTCTACGGCGAGGAGGAGGAGGAGGCAGCCGCGGCCTCGTACGCGCAGTGCGTGCGATGCGAGGGGGGGGGCGGGGAGAGGATGTGGGTGCACGTGTACGTGCAGTCGGGGGCGAGGCGGGGGGTGCCTTTCTCAGCGATGTCATGCTATGACGTGACGGAGCTGGTGGAGGGGGAGGGGGGGCGGGTGGAGGGGGAAGGAGAGCTTGAGGAGGAGTCGAGGAGGGTACAGGAGGCGCAGGTGAGGACGGTAAGGGGGGCGATGGAGCTGCTGGAGGAGGGTGTGAGAAGGTGCATGGTGGATGATGAGGGGGACGGGAGGTAAGGAGGCTGGGGGGAGGAGGGAGGTAGGGCAACGAGGTGGCGAGATATTGCAACGAGGTGGCGAGACATTGCGATTGCCGGGTGATGATCGAGAGATGAAGGGGATGAGATGCTGTGAAACCTCCGAAGAGATAGTTTGAAACTATTTGTTGTCTTTGTTGAAATGAACGTCATCGTCTGCACTCAGTATCATGTGTGGATGTCCCTTATAAACTGGCAGATGCAGACGGTAGCAACGGTCGTGTACGTCAAGTGTGTTTTGTTGCTCGCTTGATCGGCTGAATTCTGTGGGCCCAAGAATGAAGTAGCTTCGAGATGTAGCACTAGAGATAATTCGTCGTGAGTGTTAACCTCTTGTCATAAGAGACTTGATCACATTCAGGGAAGACAGTGCTTCGGAAACCAAGAGCGAGCTTCCGAAGAGTATCTGAACAGCATCGAGTCCTGTGGTGAGGTGTGGCGAAGATTTTTCCATTGGCATGATGGCCTCGGGGATAGTGTAGGCCAGGAACGAGATGTGTGTATCCTCATCATTCTTCTTGTCATCTTGTTCTCAGTTGGAAACGGCAAAAAGACTGCCTTCACTTCGAGTTGTCTGGCGAATGCTTGTTGACATCGCTGGCCGTTTTCCTTTCTTCCTCTCTGCCTGCTTCTCTACGAGATTTTCAATCCCTCGGCCAGCACGATACAGTCCCCTGCCTCCTTGCCTCGTCGCTGACATTCCCCTTGGACAGCGGTGGGGTTTCTTGTCCTGGGGAATGGGCGCTTTGCCATGACCATCCTCTCTGTCTTCCATCGCCAACCTCTCACCTCGATCAGTCTTGGCAGGAGCAGTATCATCGCAGCTCTATCCCTTCCTCTATCATATTCGCCTGCACGGTCACTCCAGTAACTGGAGCATTTCCCTCTTCTTCATCGCTGCTTCTTCGCACTCCCTAAGAACATCTATGCCTGTGTGAAATTGTGCAACTGTAGCCAAACTTGTCCATTATATTTCAAATATACAGATTCATTTTAAAGAAGACGTTCATTTCAGATGAAAGAAAATGGATTTCACTGAGTCACATCTCTGTAATGTAGAACCGAGGCGGGTGGAACTTTCGAAAATGGAGGGTGAACAATATGAGGGATAGGACGAGGACGAGGACGAGGACGAGGACGAGGACGAGGACGAGGACGAGGACGAGGACATGTACGACATAGCTTGATTGTGGCAGGTGACATGCTCTAAAAGAATTTTTTTTCATTCTCACTGGACTAGAGCGAGAGCAACTGGCGGCGGCTGGCAACCATCACATGAAGGACAAATACATCTCTAATCCGTTTGCGGCAAACATTCTCTCATGCAGATTGTGATAAAACACTTGTGTTCGGACAAACAGGTCTCACTTTCAACTCGATCTTAAATGTGAGCAACGTTATCGTCAGCTCGGACTTTCTCAGCAGCTTCGGCCAGCCGTCATGCCGTCTGTCGTGATCTATCACCTGTTGTCAGGTGGTACTGAGATTGACTCGAGTGCTGCCTCCCGTCTCGCTTCACCTCCTTGTCTCTCCCAGAGAGCAGCGTCTCTGTGGTAGCAAGCGACAAGTATCGTGAGCTGTCCTCTCTCCCCTGCTCATCGCGCCTCCTCCCGCCTCCCCGCCATCCTGTTGCCTCTCGTCTCTCCTTCACTCCTGCTGCAGCTCATGCACCCTCACTGAATGATCCTCCCCGCACGTCGCGAGCTGTACACTTGTTGCGTTGGTCGGGCGCCAGCGCAAGGCGTGGACGGCACCGGCGTGAGCGAACTCACCTGCGAGGAGCATGAGGACGTCAGAAAAGACAGTGAGAAGTAGCAGCAAGCAATCATAAATATGGTCATGGTTATGGTGGCAGTGATGATGATCGCATTTGTGATGCTGATGATGATGGTGACAGTGATGAAAACCAAGATGATTTGAGGAGGGAGAGAGGGAGGGAGGAGGAGGATGATCAGAATGGTCAACCTGATGAATCATGATGATGATGATGATGATGGTGATGGTGGTGGTGGTGGTGGTGGTAGTGGTGGTGGGGATGATGATGATGATGATGATGATGATGATGGAGATGATGATGATGGAGATGATGATGATGATGATGATGATGATGATGATGATGATGATGATGATGATGATGATAATGATAATGATGATGATGATGATGATTCAAAATGTCAGTGAATTTTGGAGCTTGGGTGATGCGAATAGAAGCACATTTTCTTCTTACCTTGCAAGCTTGTGAGCTTTTCCCACTCCTACAAAGAGGTGTCAGAGAACTTTCATCCCGTCAATTCTTGTCTTGTTTGCACCTTGTTGACAGGATCGCTAGTCCACACGCTGACTTCCCCCTCCTCTGTTCCAATCGCAATGCAGCTCCTTTCAGACACGCTACAACGCACGGCAGGGTCAGTAGGATGAAGTTGCTGCTCCTGCTCCTGCTCCTGCTCCTGCTCCTGCTCCTGCTCCTGCTCCTGCTCCTGCTCATGCTCATGTCTCCAGTCCCTCTAGCAATTAACTTTTTCTGCTCCACATCATCATCTCTTGGCTCATGATGAACTTTCCTTGCGCATTCACGCTCCCTCCCTCCCTCTCTCCCTCCCTCCCTCCCTCCCTCCCTCCCTCCCTCCCTCCTCATGGTCTACCTGTACGGCGCCCAGTCTAGCGCCGTCACAGCACTGTCAAACTTGGGCAGTTGAGCCACCAGGTTGACTTGGCTGCCGTCCCCGCAAAGTTCCCACACCTGTGGGCTGGAGTCAGCAGAGGGCCGGGGAGGACGGGGAGCTCTCTGTGCCTTGACAGTCTTGTCCCTCGACCCCGTTGCAAAGTACCTCCCCGAGCTGGGAAGAGCGTCAGCAAAGTTTGCGGTCAGCCAGCCACCTCACCGATCCCAGCTGCAGGCCCACACAATGCGCTCGTGCGCCTTTTCCAGCTTTGCCCTGAGGGAGAAGGAGGTTCCCAGTTCGGAGGTGCTCCTGGCAAAGATGCAGATAGAGCGATCTCTAGAGACGGAGAGGAGGAGGCTGTCGTCGGGGGAGAAGCGGAGCTGAGCTGGGAATCAGCAGGGGAAAGAGAGGTGGAGATAACGAGGGCGGCGGTGGAGATAGGGAGGAGGGGGAGGAGAGTCCAGCAAGAGGCGAGGAAAGCAGAGGATTGGTGGGGGGGAGGGGCAGGCAGACCTGAGTGACAGTGAGCTTGTGGCCGTTGAGAACTCCTCTGGGTTTCCAGCCTTGCAAAGAATGTGAGCAGCGGGTGAGGAGGAAGGGGAAGGGGAGAAGAGGAAGGGACATGACGAGGGAGGAGACGAGGTCAGATGGAGGAGGTGAAGACGGAGGGAGGAGACGAGGTCAGATGGAGGAGGTGAAGACGGAGGGAGGAGATGGGTTGACGCGAGGAGGAAGGCAGGAGATGAGGATGGAGAAGGTAGATGTTGTCAGCAGAAGTCAGGTGATAGGGAGCGCATGGCCCTGACACGTCACTACCTGGAGCCTCCCATAATCGGATCCCTGACTGAACGAACAAGATAAGAAACACAATCACGAGAGAGCAAACTCGGATGAAGTGCAAAGAGGAGGAGGAGAGGAGGAGGAGAGGAGGAGGAGAGGAGGAGGAGAAAGCATGAGTAGCAGCAGACGAGGAGGAAGGGGAATCAGATGTTATTCACTTACTTGGCCCTGTTGGCTCTCAGCAGCTCTGCACGTGGCGGCAATGATACAGCCCTGAAGTTGATGATCAGAACAAAGGAGAGGAGGACGAGGACGAGGACGAGGTGACGAAGAGACCACTCTCTGACGAGATAAGGAGAGGAAGAGATCTATCATGGAGGAAGGATGACAGCATAACAAGAGAGCAGAGACGGATGGAGAGGTGGGGAGGAGGAGGAGTGAAAGTTTACTTGATTGCTCGCAGCAACGGCATAGCTCGGGTTGCCATGCCCGTAAAGTTTTGCGTCTTCCGGCCATAGCGTCAGCTAGGAGGAAGAAGTCAGCTGAAGGAAGCAACAAGGGGAGGACGAAGGGTGAAAGTGGGAAGGAGGAGGGAGGAGGAGGAGGAGGAGGAGGAGGAGGAGGAGGAGGAGGAGGAGGAGGACGAGGAGGAGGACGAGGAGGACGAGGAGGAGTCCAGAGCTGCAGAGGAGAAGCGAGGGGTATGGGAAGCAGAAGGAGAGGGGGTTGGGAGGATGAGAGGAGGGAGTGACCTGCAGCAGCTCTTCTTCGGTAGGAGCTGAGCTAATCGCCCTGGCTTTCTGCACGGGCATGAACTCCTCCTCCTGCTCCTCGGGAACGTTCATGTCCTCCGCCTCTCCTCCAGCTAGGGTCAGGCTGGACGCGTCGGGGGTGGACCCGGAGTCCGAGGCGACAGGTTTGTTTGACAGGCCTGACAACAAGAAAGTTACGTGGAGTTTGACAAGCTGCGCATGGGGGAGCTGGGAACTTTCAAACTCACCGAGGGCTGGGAGGCTTGCAGAAAGGACCCTCGTCTGCTCGTCGTGGTCGACGGCAGCTGGGGCATGCAGAGTCAGAGGAGCCGCAAACTCTTCAGCTGGAGGTGCCTTGGGGTCCGCAGAGGTTGGCGACACTCTCGACAAACGTCTTGGGGGCGTTGAAGAGCCTCAGGACCTGCAGGGCAGAAGAGAGGTCAGGTAACGAGGTTGAGGAGATTAAGGGAGATCGAGGGGAGATCGAGAGAGATCGAGGGGAGATCGAGGGGAGATCGAGGGGAGATCGAGGGGAGATCGAGATGAGAAAGGGGGAAGGTGGACGAGGAGGATGAAATCTGACGATTTCGACTTGGATGCTTCCATACCTTCTCGTCGTCTGCACCGCAGACGTAACAATGACACCTTCCCCCTATGAAAGCGACACATTTCATCCCGAAACCATGAACCTGATCGAAATTCAGCTCTTTCTCCCCTCGGGTCCAGGATACTCCAATCTCACTTCCTTATTCTCTTTGCTACGCTCTCCTTCTCCTTCTTCTCTCCTCTCCTCTGCTCTCCTCTCCTCCTCTCCTCTCCTCCTTCCTCTCCTCTCCTCTCCTCTCCTCTCCTCTCCTCTCCTCTCCTCTCCTCTCCTCTCCTCTCC